ATAGTTTGTGAGGGTTTTCATTGTTTCAGTATCTTAACACCACGTACCAACAGTTCAACAGTTTTCTTAGTAATCAACGTTCAAGTACAAGGAATTCAAGAAGTCGTAAATTATGAAAATTCCCTGAATAATTAGGTGATTGAATTTTTAGAGAAGGCGAAATTTCATTGTGAAATATTCAATGGACAAAATTTGCATGAATTACAGGTGATTATTCCCAATGTTGAAGTTTTCATGTTTAGATGCAAGTAAAGCATACAATGCATTATGTGTTTGAATTCTGTGTGCCAATAATTTTAATAGTGTCACAACAAAATGTCTACCTACTTTAAAAGAAATATTCCATTAATACCATGGCATGTTTCAGTAATTGTACAATTGCATTCTTTTTATACTGGATTATTCCAATAAGACTTGTTATGGCCATTACAAATCACAATGTCCTGTGAGTGACCGGTCAAAACAACTTACCGGTACATTATATTTAGATAACATTGTGGTATCTTCACAGAAAGCAACAAGTGATCCTAATGTGTGTGCATTCATGGTAGAACCGATACAAGGTGAAGCAGGGGTCATGGTACCTGATGCTGGATATCTGAAGGGAGTCAGAGATATATGTACAAAAAATAATGTAAGTAACAGTTCAACCATAGTTCAGCGGTGCATAGCTGTAGTTTTGAATGGTCAATATTCAGTTTCAGTGACTCAGAGGGTGCAGTGTTTTAATAATGTACATTTATGCATTCAATATATATGAAATATTAACCTTTTCACCACCAGTTCACAAAATAGTCCAGTTTAGCCTGTACTTTCTTGCAGAACTATTGAAGTTTATAAGAAAAAAGTGCAGACAAATTTGGGGGGAAAAGTTAACTTTGACATCTTGGTTTAGATACGTAATAAAACAGTTTGATGGTAGTAGAGTATCTACGGTAATAATTATTACATTAATTATAATAGCAATTATTGAAAATGCAGTAATTAATTAAAATCTGCCATTATAGTTGTATTTTTGTTTATTACTTCTAATTAGAGTAAATTATGACATGTATGTATTCAGGTCATTAGGTGGTTGAACTATGACCCTAATCAATCTACAAAGTGTACACAATAGTTATGCTGTATATCACTGTGAGGGGGTTGCCTGTACATTGGACTGGTTGGTGAATAAAAGTGTGTGTTCCAATTGATGATGTCACTAGCAAGACGTGTTGTGTCCCAATTGATGATGTCACTAGCAAGACGTGTTGTTTGTAATAAAATTTTGATTCCTGGCTCTCATCATTTCATGAGTCTATAAAAATTCTGTAGGCAATTTTCTGGACATTAGCAACTTTGATCAACCTGATTTGGTCAGTTAGTGAAAACTTTATTTACCTGTCCATAGGGACAGGTAGTTAGTACATTTACCTGTTCTAGCTAAAATATGCATGTCTGGTGGAGAAAACAGGTACAGAAATTTATTGTGACATAATTTATTATGCTAATTAGCTGCCATTGGTGCATCAGAAAATAAGACCAAATTAAAGTGATCTTGAAAAACATTTTAAAATAATTACAAAATTTGTAAAAAAATTCATGGTTTATAAACAAAATAAGTGTAAAACAAAAATAATGAGGAACCACAACTTTTTAGTTTGAGTCTCAATAGTTCTATGTCAATACAATCTCTATATGTTTTCTTAACAACTTCTCTCCCAAGAAGTCAACAAGTTGAATTAACTTGCTTTGGGGGGTTTTCGTTTTGACAGTGATTCTCAGTCCTGTTAGAGGGCACACTGATGTGCCAGCAGATTATTTTACGTAACAAGGTGCTATTTATACTATGTTCTATTTTAAACTTGTGATACAGTGGGAAGTATTCATCTTTTGTCTCATATCCAAGACACTTTGTGCACCTAGTATTAGATTTTTGAAACTGTCAGATTTGTGTGTTGTTTCAGTCCTCTGAGTATGTTAATGAATCCAGGCATTGTCATTGCATAGAGTAATAAATTTCTGCAAGATGCTTGGCTTTCTCTTTTTGTCAGTTCAAAGTAAAAACTGGGGTATCTTTATCTGAGCCATCTTCGCAAGCCAAGTTTCATTACCCACGTTCAAATCCTACCTTAGGTTGAACATCAAAAGGGTCAACCCCTACCTTGAGTGAGTGTGCCACAGACTCAATGGGCAGGCCTATTGCACTGGCAGAGATTCATTCAATAATGAATGCGACCTTGGTTAACGTCCGCAGGTGTCCGACCGAGCCTGGTTGACGCCAGGATAGCGCATTAAAATTGCCATTTGATAGAAAGATGGCCACATAGCACTGTCATGTAGTCCCAAACATGAATATGACCATGCAAATCAGGCGTTGTATCCGAGTCTGTATACCTTGAGTAATGATTGACCTGAGTAACAAATAAAATATTGTATCCTATGAAATATATAAATGAAGTCATATCAGTATGCTTTGAAGAGTACATGTATACCTGTACTTCTATACTTAATTTTTGAACTTTCACCCAAATATAAATTGCGTACATGTATTTTCCCCGCTTAAAATAGATTTTTGACCTTTATTGTAATTGCTATAGTTATATAAATGTTTGTATATTATCAGGGTTCAGGGCACTCATTTCTAAGCCAACATTTATATAATAGGAATTGCATAAGAACATCAAAGCAAACTCATTGGGTGTAAAGTTGTATTTGAAGATAATTTGTTTTCATTTGTTTAGCAGTGCAAACACTATGCATGGAATTTACTACATTATAATATTAACTTATATTATTGCATTTAACAAAATTGTTTTCTCACTTAGTGACCTTAGACCACTGTCCCATATATTTTTACTAGGTCTTGTTTATTGCTGATGAAGTGCAGACTGGATTGGCTAGAACTGGTAGAAGACTGTGTTGTGACCATGACAATGTCAGACCAGATATTGTGATTCTTGGAAAAGCACTTTCCGGTGGATTTTATCCTGTAAGTGCCACTGTATTTATTATTATAATAAAAACAAACTTTTTAAAAACTTGTATTATGCACAAATGTCAAAGTCCAGATCTCTACTTCAGTGCAGTAAGTGCAGTAAACCCCGGGAGTGATTTACATTACACTGAACACTGCCCTCTATGGTGAATTCAAAACATTGTTATTGGTGGCTCTGGAAGCTGCTTGTTTGTTTCAAATAAAAGGCTCTCACTGCCATATACACATGTCAAGAATCTAATGAATTTGCTTAATTGGCAAGTGTGCATAATTGAAAAAAAACAAATTAACAGAATATTCAAAAATAAAATTTGCATAAATACATATATTTTTCCAGGTGTCTGCAATACTCTGCGATGACCCTATAATGTTGACCATGGAACCAGGCACACACGGATCAACCTATGGTGGAAATCCTCTAGCTTGTAAAATATCCATGGCTGCACTAAAAATCTTGGAAGAGGAAAAACTTGCTGAGCATGCTGAGAAGCTTGGTACCTATTTACGTGCTGAACTGAATACTCTTAACAAAGATATTGTTACAACTGTTCGTGGCAAAGGATTATTGAATGCTATTGTTATTAAGCAAACTGAAGGTAAAAGAACTCTTACTTTCATTAGGATTGAGATATCATTATTAATATTGTCTTGCTTGTACAAACATGTTAATAGCAGTATTTTAGGCATCCACCCATCAATTGCACTTGTGCCAAAAATGGCTTTATTGTTATCTTGCCAGACCTACATTCTGACCTGACCGACATTCTAGAGTCTGACCTGATCTGTTTATATGGTGTCCGTCTAGTTGAATTCTATGGATGCATTTTCTTAAAAATCTGAAAAAACTGCTGTTTTTTTGTTTTTTTTAGTATAAACATAAACATATGCAATTCATTTATTTGCTAGCTGTGTGTATTCACTGGGTTTTAATATAGCACAATTACGACCTGTACATTAGGCAACAAGTTTTCCTGATTAACAATGACTTACGGTAGTGACAGTGGACAAACAAGAAATCATTATTCTAAAAATATTTTGCATTAATTATTTCTAAGCAATGGTACAAATTTACTGTGTAGTTTAGGTTTAATTTTCAAATACTAAGTTGTGGGTGAACAATCTATTGTACATTTACATACTGTGGAATACTTTATTTTCACTGATTTTTGATGAGTTTAATGTAAAATATAGGAAAGTAAGTATATTCGCTGGATTTTATTTTCACGGAATCATCCCTTTAGCGAAAATAAATTCCAAGCGAAAACTAAAGTATTCAACAGTACCAGGCTCAGTGACCAACTAAAAGATGTAGAATAGTTTGTATACTATTGAAAAAAAAACGTGTTATTTTGCTTTTTTCGGAACTAATTTTCAACTACAAAGAATTATGACTATTAAAATGCTATCTTTCAACATTTTCTTCAGACTAATAATGCACAAATTACACCATCTATTCACCGTGAAACGTCAATTCAGCACTGATTGTCATATAAATAATACAATAAATGTATGTTTATTTACAGCATTTGATGCCTGGAAAGTATGTATGCGTCTCCGTGACAACGGTCTCCTTGCAAAACCAACTCATGGTGATATCATTCGTTTTGCTCCACCTCTTGTGATTACAGAAGATGAGATCAAAGATTGCTTTCAGATTATCAAACGCACAATTGAATCTTTCTAGGAATTAACACAATCATGTATACCCGTATTAAAGGTCATAGGTCATCTTATTGTCTCACCAAATCACGAATTTATATATAATTTTAAAACAATCTTTGCAATGAAATTACATGACAGTCTGACAATATTACCAGTTTTAAAAACAAAAACTAACGACGTTGCTTGAAAACCTGAAAGGTTCAGTTCTTGGCTACATACATGTATATGGAAAAGATAGCGCCCTCTATGGTTCAATTTTCAACCATAACCCTTTCAAAATGGTGGAAACGCATTTTTGTCCTGTAGCTGCATCTTTTATCAATTTTTTGATACATGTTAATACTGATGTGGAATGACCTTTGTGTTATCAATAAACATACATGGGATAAAAGTTAAGAGGTAAAAATTTTGCATATCTAAGCAGACAGCTGCAAAATTTGCATAATATTACCATAAATATGCGACATGACATATTACATTATTTGTATTAATTTACCGACACAAGGCATTTTGGCTTAGTATTGCATGGATGAAATATTTGGTAAAAAACGTTTGCATGTCGACATTTCCTCAACTAGCAATATGTGGACAATGCAGTATTGGAAAATACAACTCTTGTCCTCATTCTTGCATATCAATGACTACACTGGTTATTTTTTCATCGCACACTAATTTAAGAACAATTTAATATGCTTGTTTGCTTATTACAAGAATGTTCTTATTACAAGAAGTACTTTACAATTGTAGTCAGTTATGTTGGATATGTAAAACAGTTGTATTTTCCAATCACCACTACTAAACTGCGATTTACAAATTCAATTTGAATTATGGTTGATTAAAACACAATTTTATATAGGGTTGCGATTTAATTAAATTGCAACTCTATATTGGGTAGTAGAAATAACATCGTATAAATTGTAACTAATAATGGTTTCTATAGCTCAGTGTTAAGTGTGCAGGTTGTTGTATACTTTGCCCCTTCGTATAACCCTGCCTGATAAATCGCATTTTAATAGTGCCTCTATTTTCCTGCAGTTTCAGATATTTTATGAATTGATGTCTGCACCAGGAAACTTGTGTATAAAACAAACAAAAAACATCTGTGTAACATGTATTCCATCAATTTAAAAAAAAGCATTAAACATTGTATAAACAGCATACAACTTAAGTTTTATCATGTATTACGAGTAAGTGGGGCAGTATGTGATATCCACTTTTGAGATGAAATTCCATGCCAAGAGTGGAATGAATGGATGCATTAAAATTTGATAAAACAGCTACAAGATGGCACCAGACATAAACGGGGTAAGGGGTGGTTTTACTATTTTTCAGTAGTTGTCCAATAAGGTATGTTGGTTAAGATTAAGGATACATAGAAATATAACCAAATGGCTGCCGGTCAACCATTTGAGATCAAATGACAAAACAGACTTGCATCTGTAATACAAAGTGAATAAAATAAGCCAAGGCATACCAGAGTAAAATTAACATTACAAAAAATCCCCAAATGACTGAAGATGCAATGCTGTGCATTCATTGTATGTCCGGTATCAGTGTCTGATAAGTCTGTTTGAATGAAATCAGGTCAACATGTTCTGTTTTTTTCAGCAAAGATACCAATCTATTAAACAAGCAAATTGATATGTCAATGTCTACCCATTATTACTTGTTTTAGAAATGAATTTGGTGTGGAAGTCAGTCAAAAACTTGTGAAACATTAAATGACCCCCATCTGATATGAATTTGTCGTCCCTTGCCTGTGAAAGTAGTTAAGTCATCAATTACAATGTGATTATACTTGATCTGGAAAAATAAAATTGTTACCATTTTAATACTTCAAAAGAGAAATGCAAAAATGCCTTGTGTTGCTAGCTGAACAGATACCATTGAGGTTTGTAATATTTTGTTTAACATGCAGTATGCACACATGCATTTGACACTTTATCGTGTTGACCCGACTACAATAGGTTGAGACCATTGCTGAATCCCAAATAACTGAATGACTAAAGGTGTGTTGAATAGCACTGAAGAATCAATTTTCGTATCCACTTTCTCACCTACAACTGAATTCATGAATATAGAATATTTTGAAGTAAGAGTTGTGACTACTCTGTCTGCACAAAGTGTGATCTTGAAGTCAACGACTTTTGTAGTGGTCACTTCTCTTCAACAGCTTATACATCCTTGTTAAAACATCCTCTGCTGGAAACCTACACTGATTGCAGAAATAAATTGGAGGCAATGTGACGTATATGATGTACCCTGGGTACATGTGTATTTGTTGGAAACCGACATCCCTTGAAAACAGCAAGTAATTTCTCTGGGCTGGAATTCCAGCCCTGAATGCATGCGACTGAGTGACTTATTTTGAAAACATTCCAAAATGCGTTTTACGCAAACGTGTCTATAATACTGGAATAATGTCCAGTCCAATCAGTCTATCTGCTAAGACTTTATACATGAGATGTCTATAGCATTTCTACCTATTATGAGAAGGTGATCAAATTAAAGAAAAACAATATATTTGCTATTTGAAAAAATAGGAATCTTTGCTGTATATATAGAATGACCACTCCTTGTGATTGACGTGCAGAGTCAGATAACCAAGCAAAATGGAACAAGGTTGGAGTACTGAATTGACCAGTCAACTGTCTAGTCAAAATGGTTATTAAAAACTGAATATATAATGTAAATGAATTGTAAAAATGGTTTTATAAAATGCCATGTTGTGAGGCACCTCGGTTGCCAGATTGCAGATATAGTAAACAACACCAACATTCATTGCAGATAGTACCGGTAAATGACAACACCAACATTTATTGCAGATAGTGAACAACAACACCACCAACATTCATTGCAGATAGTAAATGACAACACAATTGCTATCTTCAAACGGCAGCATTCTACCGGAGCCGAACTACTGCTCCTCCCACCGATTAACAGGAGATTATCCCCAATGCGTTCATACGGTCGGGACTGAAGGAGAGCCGAGATCAGCCATAGTTCGATTCAGTTCGGTCAGACCCTAATAGAACTCGAATAATTAGTGTGAAATAAAAATATGGCTGAAAACGATATTGGTGTTGAGCTTGTGTTGTTTCTTTACATGGCACAATTGTGTTGATCTGGGTGAAAAAAAACACATGATTGAGTCTGAGCATTGAGGTAGAAAAGACAATGAACTGGTGTTATGATTTAGACATGGAGGTTTATACCGCCATGATTTCGGTAATAGTATCTTGAATAAACAGGAAACACGGCAGCTAAAATGTTTTACAGCCTATTCGCTTAAGTTATTGTTCAACTGTTGTCAATCTAAACCTACTAGGAACATGTCACCTTATCGTGACTGCTTCTACGATTTTTATCTCTGGTGTCTTTAAAAAGTATCTTCAATTTTCATTGGATCTGTTCAGTCCTTCTTTCAAGTTTTTGGTGCATAATTTCGTACGCCATTTTTCTGTTTCCTGTTGACCTGTCAATCTATCGCAATATTTCTTTACTCTGTCAAATAGATATTAGGGCGTGTACCTCTTCGTCAAATCAGAAATTGCGTGAAGTTACAAACGATGTTGTCTCCACCATAATTGAAATGAGAGGTTACTTCAAGTTGAAGGATACGATTGAGGGAGTGATTTGGATTCGGGGTTCAACCCCGAGGGTTTATTGGAGCCGTACTTGGCTCGAGTCAAACGCGTATACACAGTCATTGTTGCTGGCTCGAGCTGTAGGGGTCCGATAAAATTGCTGTCGTGTGAACGTAGCAATACATTCATTCATTGCAAACAGTAAATGACAACACATTCCTTACTGCAGTTAGTAGTAAACAACAATACTTGTATACAAATTAAGATTGAAACTACAAGCTTTTATTAATTGTAGATTGTATGTAAATTACAGTTTGTACAACAGAAATCCACATTAATTTTATGCACATTGTACATCAACCATATGTCTCACATCTTAGTAAAATTTCTAAATTGGAAAGGGGGAAATAATTCTGTAAAACAAGAACAAAGGCTCGTTTTGAACACTGACTTCATACTGGTAATGCTTCATTTTATATTGCATGTTTGATAAGCAATGCAAAAGGCAGGTTTACTGGAAATGGGAGGGGTACTGGTAATGCTTTATTTTGTATGCGATTGGATGAGCAATGCAAACAAACATTTCAAAAATTTATTTCATTATCATGAGATAATGTATTGCAATGGAGCATCAAATGGTTTTTATCAATTACAGTATCATGACCAGTAGTGAGTGATTTTAAACCCATATTTTGCAATTTCTTCAGAAATAACCATTTCTAGTGTAAATGCAGAAGATAATAAATAACACTTGTTACTGTCTTGACTCGTATATTTTTCTCTACTTTTTGTACTTGATATTGATAGGCAATGATTTCTTGTGTTTGCTGACAACCGGTTGTACAGACAGTTTCTTGGATAATGATTTGCTGGTTTTCTTGTTTATATCAGCTTTGAATATAGTGCTTCTATGGAGGGTACCTGGAGGAGTGCTGTCATTGGAAGAGGAACCTTTATCCTGTGAAAAACACAAATTAATGATATAAATTTGATCCATTACAAGCACATAATACATTTACTGTATACATGATCATCAAAATATCTCTGTATTTTAACCAGACACACCTTTGTCATTTACACAAATGCATGCAAATGAAAAATCAGAAAACACACATGTGGACAAGAAATCCACTTTTAGTAGTTTTGTAAATGCACATAGCTGCACACAATTTACAAGTTTGGATGGATGTATGCAAGTATCATTCAATTGTTGCAACAATAACACCATTTCCAACTGATAGATGTTTGCCAAGAATTTTTACAAACTTTTTGGCAGAACAATTTTCATCCTAATTCAAGTAGATGATTCAGGTAAAGTTGGCTAAATTGAAAACAGAGCCTGCCTTTTCAGGCAGCTTATGACCCCCTCATTATCTATAAACATCTAGGGTTGATAGGCACCCAAGAGAGTAAAAAAATGATATAAATTAATTAATTACATGTAGTTATTCCCAAACTTGTAAATAATTTGTGACAAATTACATCAGCATTCTCAAATTTACTAGCTTTGATTTATTTTATGTAAATAATAAATGCAGGTTGATTTGATATTAATGATTATGATGCTTTCCATGTTGTATAGCAAGTATGACAAGGAGAACTTGACAAATAAATATGTTATTACGCTTGATATATTTGACTTAATAATAAAGCACTCACATTAGTAGATTTTGGCAGTTCCGGAAAATGTTGAACATCAAAGGAGAACGCATTGGATTTGGAAGCAGTGTCTTGTCGTCGACTAGCAGTATCAGGTTCACTACACAAATAGAGAATACAGTGTTTAAATATAGTACAATTATTCAAGTCAATATGCATTTAGATGGCTTTTGAGCAAATAAAATCATGTTATTTATTCATTATTTGCTCAAAAGCCAACGGTTGTTTTAATCAGTGGTTATGTCGCAAGTATTAATAGCTCCAATACAATGAATGAAGACTGACTGCTAATAATATCTGTCTAAACATAAAAGAGAAAGTACACCTATGCACAAGTATAATTATATTACTATAGGAACCATGCAAAACAAATGTGTTAGCTCCTTAGCTTTCTCAACTCTTTTATTTCACTGTAGGGAGCTGACATAGTTGTTTTGAGAAAGCTAGGGAGCTGACACAGTTGTTTTGAGAAAGCTAGGGAGCCGACACAGTTGTTTTGAGAAAGCTAGGGAGCTGACACAGTTGTTTTGAGAAAGCTAGGGAGCTGACACAGTTGTTTTGAGAAAGCTAGGGAGCTGACACAGTTGTTTTGAGAAAGCTAGGGAGCTGACACAGTTGTTTTGAGAAAGCTAGGGAGCTGACACAGTTGTTTTGAGAAAGCTAGGGAGCTGACACAGTTGTTTTGAAAAAGCTAGGGAGCTGACACAGTTGTTTTGAGAAAGCTAGGGAGCTGACACTGTTGTTTTGAGAAAGCTAGGGAGCTGACACAGTTGTTTTGAGTAAGCTAGGGAGCTGACACAGTTGTTTTGAGAAAGCTAGGGAGCTGACACAGTTGTTTTCAGAAAGCTAGGGAGCTGACACAGTTGTTTTGAGAAAGCTAGGGAGCTGACACAGTTATTTTGCATTGCTACCATGTTTTCTAGGAGGCTAGCTGTGACCTGTTACCATAAAAGACTTTCTGGTGCAAATACTGGTAGGTTAAGCACCATTTTTCATTAAATTGATGTCTCACAAATTTTGGTATAATATATATTTTTTATCTTTAGAACACGCAAGTCAACAAGCTCAATGAACATTTGACCCCATAAACACTGCCCTCTATAGGCAGGTTAAGAATATATTATTCGTATGTCAACATATCAATTTTAAAAATTAAAATATTATAATTTTTGTTGATCACACTTAACAATAGCCCTTAACTTGTACATGTGTATTTTTAGTGAATTTAAGGTGGCAATACCAGGGTCAGGGCAAACATAATTAAGACTATCAACAGATAATGCAAAGCAATGACACGAAGTGAAGTCCATGTATGGAGAACGTGTGGTATAAAGTGTTCACCTTGGATAGCCATGTAGAAATGGACAATCTTTCCCCTTGAAACAGCTTCCTTCTTCCCAAAAGCGACAAGTTATATTGCTGAGGTCATGAGCAAATTTACAGTCAGCACGGTGACAGCTTCCTTCTAAATAGAATGTACACGGCTTTTTCCAACCTATAATATATATTAGAACAATTATAAGTGAGTTAAAATACCATAATCCACCCATCCTTTCCATTTTATCATATCACAAATCCACCAGGTGTAATTCTCATTGTCATAAATACATGTCAATTTGATACACAGGAGATCACAGGTTCTTTATAAAACTGCAGGAACTTAATTAAGGTAGAAGCCAACTCATGAATGCAAATATCCAGAATTTATTCATTTCCAATAAATTGTACTTCCTGGCATTATTATAAGGATATTGACTTAAAAAATGTTGGGGGTCACCAGCTTAATTTTCAAGAGAATTATGGTTGTATTTTAGTGGATTTTACTGTAGAAATATTATGCCATATTTCAAATTGTAGCCTGAAATAATGATATATTGTTAATGACGGGGTACTTATTGTTCTCCTAAATTATTTCAAAAAAACCTGGGTTTTAAAAAATGTCAAAAAATGCAACTTTATCTTGAACATTGTGCTCTACGAAATTGTTCAAAATATAGCGATTTTTGAAAAATATTAGGACCAGTTTCTCAAATACTTTACACACAAAAGAATGCTATTTCATTGTGCCATGGGACAGTAGCTTCATGATTTTACATAATTTCACTGATAAGTAAAATCGGTTAAATTAAATTCATGCAAAGTTTTACTGGCAGTTTCTGAACTTAAAAATCCAGAAAATATGCTCAAAAGAAAATAAATGGTTTTACAGTACATGCTGACTTACCTCTTTTCACAGATTGTTTTTTCCTTGACAGCGTATCTGGCTGAGTGTATCGTAACCATTCCTTTTCCAGATCAGATGAGTATGGCATGTGACATGTATCTAAAGGCACATCTCCTTCAAATGGGAATATCTACAAAGAGAGCATGGTGAAATTATTAGGTGAACTATAGAAGTGATGTACATGTTATGGTAGAGGTAAGTTTTTAATTTTGCAAATGTTGGGCTACACTGTTTGAATCATTGATATAAGGAGTCATGCAGTGAATGGCTCACTAAATGAGAAATCACAAGGAAAGTGAAATAATGTGAGATGTAAATGACCTCATTAATCTGCATACAATGATGATGCATGCCAAAGAAGTAAAGACAACCAATAGTTGTCACAGTTGCATTAGTAAGTCAAGGTTTAGGCTAGGTCATGGGAAGTTGAATGGCTCCCAAAAATTCTACTGTCTTTTGCAGGCAATTTTGAAGTAGAAGAACTAATGTTTTCAATTGGCCATTAAAAAGCTGGAAAAGACAACTTAACATCTACTGGCTGTCATTACTGAACTACAAAGGGTGACAACTGCCGGACTATGTGTCAACAGGGGTCACAACTTTACATACTTCTTGGCCCTTTGATAAAGCTAACTCACTGCAATAAGTTGAATCCATGCGTACATGGACGCTGTGATGTTGTCGAATAATGTACTTATTCATATCGACTATCAATGTGTCCCGTTAAATTACCTGATCACAAAGCCTCTTCGACAAACCCACTCACTGAATCCCTTGGAATTGACTTAATTGCAAAGTACTTTCGAAATTACCCACTCATAAAAAACATTTTGTATAGTTACTTATATCAAAATAATCAAAAACCTCCAAATTTTCTATGAAAGAAATCAGGTTTGTAAATTTCGAACACAAATCAAAAATAGCATTTTTGACTAAAAATCACACAAATATTTATGAAACTGCAGATAGAAACCAAACCACCCATTTTGAGAACATTTTTTCAAAAAGCGTCTTAGATAATAATATCAGAAGCTGACAACAAAGTTAACACGGTTATTTGGCAGCAAGCTCTGGGTAAATTTCATTGCAGTACTGTCACTTATTTCTTTGAAACCTATGGCCTCACCCAGACGTATGTAGGGTATGCAACTCACAAGTGATGTGGTGTATTTTCACAAACGGAAATACAGCATGGATATACCAAAGCACAAATACCTGAAAATTACTGAAAACTGAAATTGTAAGATGGTTTGTTTTTTTTAAAACCCGATTTGTCTGACATGCACATCAGACTCGATTTAATTCCTCCAAAGCTATTATGCTTCTCTCTTCAAAATGTTTAAGTCACTATGTTAGCACTGCGTATGGGCAAAACTTTGAGTATTACATACACATTTATCCATAAGTTGTGTTTAGTGCACACGCAAGAGAAATCAAAACAACAATGCATGTAAGATTTAGGATATCCAGATAAAAATGACTTCCGTTGCTAAGTGGTCGGCCAATCAGGGTCAGAAACTCGATAACTCACAAACAAAGTTACTATTGAATTGGTTCAATTTACTTAATAGAATTTCAGGTAGCAAGATGGCTCGCAACTTTGCAAAACACTTTTTGCTTTGTTCTAGACTTGGCAGATGGCATGCTGTGTGTGATTTACTATTTTATAGGGTGATCAACATTATGATATGATTCAAAAGTCGAGTTTACATATTCAATAACTATTCGTCAAATCTTGTTTGTCTACATTGTACGTAATTCAAAAAAATTTAAACAAAATTTGTTTGTATATTCTACTGAATGCTTTTCATTTGTTGCAAAGTTTCAAGCCATCTTGCTAAACTGACTGTCCGAATAATTTTCAGAATGGCTGTTAATGCCTTTCAACAAATTATACTGAAAGAGACAATACAACATATACATGCAAAATGTTCTTGGTACTTCACGCAAACAAACATATTTACTTACATGATCCTCAGAGTCACCTGATATGCTGGTCCAAGGAATATACACATCTGGAATCATACACTGTTTGTCTACCACCTGACTCTGGCTACTAGACAAACCTTGCTGATTTGGGATAATCTCTTTAGACATCTTCAGGGAATCAGACCTAAGAAAATTGTCAAGTTTTAAAACATCATCCGTGCTATGTAGCTGCTTTCCTTCCATGTATACTTCTGTCGGCTCCTTCATAGTTTCCGTGACCTGCTTTTTCATAAAATCATTTGAAAGATCATTTGTGCTATGTGGCTGCCCTTCTTCCATGTATGTTTCTTTTGACTCCTTCATAGTTTCCTTGATCTGCTTTCTCATAAAATCATTTGAAAGATCATTTGTGCTATGTGGCTGCCCTTCTTCCATGTATGTTTCTTTTGACTCCTTCATAGTTTCCTTGATCTGCTTTTTCATGAAACCTTTAGTGTTTGTTGGCCACAACATAGCAATGTCTTGTGTCTGGTTTAATTTAGGGGCGGTATAATTAGCAATCTCCGCATCATCACTACCAATGGACCACCTATGTGCATATTGGCTTAGAAAAAATTTAATTCTATGATCAGATTTATTGCTTCCGCCACAATCAGGAGCACTGTGAGCAAATCGTCCTCCAAGTCCGTTATAAATATCATCATTTTCTAAATGTAAATCTAAAATGTTTGTTTCATTATTTTTCACGCTACTCCGCTGAGAATTCTCGCTGCTGTATCCCTCACCTGGTGAATCCGAAGATAAGCTTTCTTTTATTGGCTTAAAATGAGTTTTCGGAGAAATTAATAAATTTTCCCATGCCACCATTTGCTTGGAAAAAGATTGTGAAGTATCAGACAACTGGAAAGGTCCATATTCCTGCACTCTCCTGACAGGTCCAGACCAGCTGGAACCAGTTTCAGAGGTTTCAGCTTTAGTTTGGGGAATAATTTTTGTAAAAGCACCTTTGTGATATGTAAATGTGGTAGTTCTGTGTCGATGCTCATTAGAGTCGGGCACAAACTCATCACTTAAAATTTCTTGCTGTGAGTATTTGACACCTTCAGCTGTACTCTGTAAATTATATTGTGTTTCCTTGTCCTTCAAAGCATTCATAAATGTATCACTTATAGGCAGTGAGCTACTGTAAGTTTTACCATTCTGCGACATGGATTCTTGTGCAAATCTAAAACGAGATGTTGTCCTTTGATTAAAGTTATAAGTTTTACTATTCTTATCGTGGTCGGCCTGGGCAAACGAAAATCTTGAAGAATTCCTACTAGAAAATGGAGGATATTGCTGACCTATGGGATCGCTTTCCCATAGATCCTGTGGACTGATATTTGTATCTGTCTTCGTACAATCACCTGTTTTAATCTCAATATCACCGTAGACCCCTCCTGGAATGAAGCTGGTCTCTTTTGATGGAAATTCAGACTGAATTCCAGATGCTCTAAGATTATAATCAACAAACATTGGTGATTGTATAGGACTCAGTTCCAAATCATACGTTGACCATAATGCACTATTTACATCCCACAAGTCAAAGTTGTTGTTCTCAGTTTCTTCAGGCAGTACAGTAGAATGATGAAGATTCCATGGATGTGTTTGGTTTTCACATACATTTGTACATTCTTGCTGTTTATTCAAGTCCATATTAGGACTGGTATAAGGAGTGGTATGATGTGACCATGCAGTTTGCAATCCAGGATTTATTAGATTATCCGGATCCAGAGTAGACTGGGTTAAGAAAAATTGTTTTCCTGGTACTTGACTCATTTCTTTCACCTCATTAGTTGTTTCAGCCATGTCACCTGCAGTAATGTCTTGTTCCACTGATTGAATATCTGTATCTACTTTCAACTCCCAAGACGGCGTGACTACTTCATCACGACTTCTGTCCCAAATAGCAGCTAAATTAAAGGCTCCAAACAAATCTTCCACTGTCAGACTTTCTTTTTCTTTGTCATTATTGTTTTCTACAACGACACTTGCACAACCATGCTCTTCCAATTGTTTATCAGATTTCGTCATTTTCAAACATTCAGTGCATCCCAAAAACAGGTCTTCAGTTTTCAAGTATGTCTCGTCAGTCTTTGTTAGTTCTGATGCAGTACAACAAACATCATCTTCACCATCATTGGTCAATTCATCTAAAGTGTCCTTAATCAATTTCTGACAAGCTTTACTTTCAGACTCCATGGCAGTTTGCTTGTTTAGACGTATCATCCTCGTATCATCCTCTGTTTCCATGGCAATCGCTTCTGGATGCAGACTCTCCATAAAAACTGTTTGATTAGACTCATCAACTTGAGGAGACTCGTCTTTGTCACTAGGTTTATAAAGAGTTTCTAGTTTACTTTTCTCTGTGCTTGGTACAAAAAAATCTGCCATTGGATCAGTATACCATTTCCAATCTTCCTTTGCAGAAGAAGCTAGCAAGTCGCATAGAGTTTCATTCCTGGCACTCTCTGCATTAACTTCATGGCAAGTGCTGTTCTTTTTAGAGGATTCTTCACTGTTTGCAGCTATTTCAGTACCATTTTCACAATTTTTGCACTCAACTGGACAGAAAAATGTACTCTTTCTAAGTTTCATCCCATTTTCAGGAAGGCTATATTTACGTTGGTGTTTCATATAATATTTGGTAGGTGTTGTACTGTTTCTTGATGTAGATGCAGACTTGGTTTTTCTTGAACAGCTATGTGTATTCCGTTTATCAGCTTTACAGGTATTACCTTCAGCATCATGTTTACCCTTACATGACAGCACTTTAGACGCCCAGCTATTTCTTGGTTTAGGATCAGGAGGCAACAAATTGGTCTTGTCGCTTAGAGCTGGAAAGGCTTCATAGTATCTGGGAACATAAATACAAGACCAATTGCATTTAAGCTAGGTTAACATAATAGCTTGCTTCACAGGTATACTTTTCTTTTGAGAAAAGCAGGGAAGAATGGAATGAATCTTTGCTCAAATCAGTTATTTGTGATGCTATTATGAGATCCCTTCTCATTAACTCTTTGAGCGCCAAAGTCAACTTTTGTCACCATTAACAAAATAAAAAAAAAAAACACACATCATTTTTTACATATTTTCACCACAATCAAGCCATTAGCAAATTATGTCTATTTGGTCCCAAAAAAAATATAAAAAAATTACATAAAAACAAATCTTGCATCAAAACCTGGACGGAAAATGATGGTGCTCAAAGTGTTAATGAACCTCAGCATTGAAACAAACTACTAATATATGAATGATGGCTAATTTATACCTTGCTTATGTAAGGTTTTCACTACCACTAATAATCATTCCTAAAGCTTGTTTGGTTTTGGGGATTATTATGTAACACATTTGAATTGCTTGAAGTATTTATGTAGTTCAAAAATTTGACAGTGTTAATAATAGTAATTTGGAACAGTGCTGAATCTTTGTGAATCCATGCCACTATTCAAATGTATTCGGGAATGAAAATTTTGAACAATCAAATGGGAAACTGAAATTGCCTGAAAATGAAACTGATTGCCAACATTCAAAAAGTCACTGAAGTTTGGATGTTTACCGATAGTTCTACGGGGTTCCTTTTTTTATGCATGTTGTCATAAGAGCTGGGACATCCAGATCTGTAATTGGACTCTTTGCCATTGAATACTCTCAGAATACTCACTTTTCAGGATCACTCTCTGGATATTCACTTCCTGAATCACTGCTCTGCAGTCCCCTAGGGCTTGATACTAAGCTGACACCAGCAGACTGCTCTGCATGTAAACTTTTCAGACGTACACACAGTTCTTCTACTAGATTCTCAATATCACATTCCTAGAAAATAAACATAGCCCAACTATTAGAATCTTGCCCATCAATTGATGCATCAAGCTATAAAAATAAATGTTTTGCAAACAGTTTAATTAGACCATGAGGTATATTTAAGATATCATCACGAAATCAACAAATCTGAGAAAGGTCCACATGTAGTACTTATATATGTACAATGTAATATCAAAGCAATTGGACTTTTGGTTTTTAACAAGAAGTCAAAAATATCACTTTTTTTACCAAAAATGACAAAAATATTCACCAAAATTAGAGAATTTAAGATATCATCATGAAATGAACAAATATCGGAGATGTCTACCCCAGGTACATACACACAAAGTATCAAAGCATTCAGGCTTGTAGTTGTCAAGAAGAAGTCTAAAAGGTAAAACATTGACACGGACGACGACGGACAATCACTCATATAAGCTACGCTCGACAAAGTCGACAGCGGAGCTAAAAAGATAAAAGTGTCATAGTCCCTGTTGCAATTAAGAGAAATGTTATTCATATCTAAGATAAAGTAATATGGCCAATAAGCAAAATGAATGCAAGTCTGTTATCTGATCACAAATTGAATTGTTATGAACATGTATTGCTACATGCATAATATATGCAATCAAATTGGATATGCAAATCACTGGTCATGTGATGTGGTAAACAGTTTCTGAATGAATTTATAGTCAGTGATTGAGAGTGAAATAAATCTATTATCAACAATAATCAGATTTATTAAATGATTTCTAAATTTGCAATCTAATATATGGTTACAGCCAGCCAGACTCACTCATGTTATTCTATATGATGTACATTTTTTTTTATTTATTAATATTTTGAATTTTTGACTATGAACATTTACAAAACAACTTGTGGAAGATATTCCAACAAATAAACACAGGAGTGCATTATGATGTATGTGACAAAAATATGATAAATAAAACAAAAATAATTCATTTTTAGTACGTCTGCCAGTTGGCTATTTTGAACTGATCACAAAATGAATCATAATGGACATGTATCTCAACATGTGAACATATCTGAATGAAAACCGACAAAGCATGTCCAAGATACCACATTTTCAAAAAAACAAGATGACTTCCAGTCAGCCATTTGGTACATACATTATACATGTCAGAGATATAGTTGTATGGCCAAAAGCAAGATGGCTGCCAGACGCCATCTTTGAGGTGATTGTTAAACAAATTGTCATGGGCATTTATACTAACATGTATAATGTATGTATCAAATTTTTCGAAAAAAAAACAAGATGACTGCAAGTCAACCATCTTTAATCTGATCATGAAACCACTGCACGTGCATATGTCCCAGTCCCACATAAAGAATGAACAGATTCAGTCCAGAGGGTTCTGATATATGATTCTGGATGTATGGACGGACAGACCAGATGGATGGAGACAGAATTATAAGTTTTGAACTTTGTTCGAACAGGAGCTATAAAAAACAGCACCATTTTTTTCAAATAAAAAAATAAAAAAACAGAAAGAAGTCCTTATATATAGCATTATGCTTTTCCATTTTAAAGTTGAAAATATTAGATTAAACCAAAAAAGAGCAAAAATATTCACTGAAAATAGAAATTAGAAGTAGATGAAGTAAACAAAATGATCTCAGAGAAACCCACCCAAGGTATCCATTTGGTAAATATAAAATATTGTTGTTGTAATGTAAACAATTGTTGGTAACCATAACAACATTAATCCAGTAGGCTATGGCTGCCTATGATTATGATTAATTACCATAGTGACGGGTACCAAAGTTGAGATTAATGCTTTAGTAGTTTGTGCAGGGAAAGCAAA